ACAAGCAGCTGACAGAAATCTGTCCACCCTCATTAGTAAATGAAGACAGGATAGTTAAAATAATAATGAGAAACAATTTCTCATGCTGACATGTTTAAATGTCCATGTTTGTATTGCCCTCAAGGTCAGTGAGGGCCCCACAAAGTGGAAATTCTTATTTTATAATTGCTGGCAGTCTGACTTTGTAAGGTAATTTGGTGATTAGTGCCAAATATTCATTAACCCCGAGGCCTCTCCTTGATGTGTGGCCTGGTATAGACAGAAACTGTGGTTACAAAAGAATGTTACTAGTTTTGTTTAAGGTGAGAAAGACTCAAATAAGCTGAATGTCATGCACCTGGGGAATGGTACAACAAACTTCGGCCATTAGTATGAAATATATTTTAAATGACTTATGGAAATGATTCATGAGAAAATGCTTGTGATACACCCACCTCAAGAAGCAATGGACACCCATGACACAGGGTATGATTCATACAATATTGAAAATAACATAAAATGAAAATAAATCAAAGGTATTACCTGAAGTTGCTTACAGGATTTTATCAATTCACACTCATTATTTTGATTGATTGGTAAATAGAAGAAGAAACAGCAATAAAGGGCCTCTCAGCAGTTGTTTCTTCCATGCATTGATTTTTTTTTTTTTGTATGTATTTTCTCCCCTGTTGTACTGTTGGTAAATTAAAAATAAATTTGATACTGGCTAAGTAGTTTGTCCATAAATTTTTCATTTTTGTGTACTTAAAATTTTTACTGCTACCTTTAAAAATCATTCCGGATAGGTGCTGAAGACTTACCCCTTTTTACAGAATTTCAAGCAAGAATAAGACTTAACATCCTTGTTCAGTACTCATTTTTTTTTCTGTTGCTAAAAACCTTAAATTCTCAAATTTTTGTAGCTATAAAAATATTATAATGTAAAATTAAATAATTTAAAAATTCCATAATTATAGTTTTAGCTACTATATCTTTAATATTTATATTTATTGGTTAAATATTAGTTTTATTGCATAGCATATAGGCATAGATAAGCCTATATCTAAGAGGTGCAAAACCAATTATATAACAAGAAAGCGTCACTTCAATAATGGGGAGTTTACACTTTGAATCTGGATAACTGAATGTTTATTCCAAATGAATATTCAATACTGAAGCAGGCAAATTAATTTAACTGAAAAATTAATTCCTTTCTGCAGTCCCCTCTTGCTATAGTTTGGCTGAGAAACATTCCTCACAGTCTCCTGTTTGAACATTGATAGAAGCATTGGCAGAGGGTCATGAGCAATCCCCCCCCCCATTCTTAAATAGCTGGGTATAGAAGAAACATTGTACCCAGCATGATTTTAATTAGTCAAACAATCATCACTGTCATTGTGTCCAGGGTGCCCATTACAACAGGGGACAGCGCTGCCTGCTTTTTATTTCCTCTTCAAAATTTATTTACAACTAGAAACATGCTGCTCTAGTGTGGCAGCCTAGATGTCTTTAGACTAGTCCACCTCTGGCATTTTATGAAAGGGCTCACTTGATTGCCATTAAGAACAATAACTGGGCAACTGATCGCGCTTGTTCTGAAAGAGATGAGGAAATTACATTTGGTAGAATGCTTATGGATATCCACTTGGGAAAGGAAAGTGCCTTGAGTTTTTTCTCAATGATTTTTGATGGTCCTGTTGTGCACTTTGAATCATTTTTGTAATTTTATCTGTCATGGTTCTGTCACCAATATGTTGAAGGCTATGGCTGCCACACTCACACAGCTAGTCAGAAACAATATCACAGGAGGTACTTGAGAGATTTCTGGTTATAGAGAATGTACCCCAAGGAAGGACCCATTTTTTTTTTTATCTAGGAAACCTATATTAATAAGCTAATGATGACTTATCTAGCATAAAGAAAAATTGTGGCTTTGTGTGTCTATTGAAAATGTTTGAAATACATGGGGAACACTTGAGTTGGTCTCAGGAAGTGAAGAAAATCATTGCTCCAAAGTGGACTTATGGAGGCAATTTTAAATATGCTTATTGCAACCAAATAGCAGCAAATGAGCACAGGATTAGTGCTTGTGGCTAATGAACAAATTTCACAAAACACATAATTCCACATTATCTTCTCAAAGAAGTTTATTTGCACTCTGCTCTAACAAATATAGTTTGAAGGCAACAGTCATTTAAGTGTCATAGTGTGTGGCACAGATGAAAGGAGACAAACAGACTCAGAAGCCATCCAGCATTTCAAGACTGGTTTAACAAAAGAGGCACGTGTTACCCTATTAATACCAGAAGACATTTCTTTCCCCTTGCAAGCAACAGACTACATTTATTCGCATTAAGTAAAAACATATCTTGTTCAAGAAAATTACTTTTTTCCTGATTTCCTTTATATCACAAATGTCAGGGTAAGGCAAATCCTTAATGAATCATATGATTAAAAACCCTATTTCCCGAGAAAATATATTGACATATTCTGCTAACTTTGTTCTTGTTCAAAGCACAGCTGACATGCACCACATACAGAGAAATGTCTTTGCAAACCAAGTGCATCAAGCAGAACAGTATTAATTCACAAAGAGGCTTTTCAGTGTTTCATAGAAAGATTTACAATTAGCTGCAGTGATTAATATGTGACCCAGTATCATAGACAGTGCTTCGGATGTCTTCTTTGTAAGCTCTTATCAAAGAAGACTTGTCCATCATCTGAATAGTTACCAGCAAGAGGAAAAGCCCCTTTGTCTAGCCTGCGGTGAGTACCTTTTTAATTAGGACTATTATGTTGAAGGCCTACTTCAATCCTCTGTATGCAAACATGATGAATAACAGGGCTACTTTCCTCCCATCCTCTTATTGCCCTTCATGTCATGTGGCCTGGCTGAAATGTGATTGGAAATGGCCACCCTGAATTCATGTGTGGAAGAGCTGGTCCACTTCCCACATGTACTGCATTGTACAGCCTGTGCAGTGATGCCTTCGGTCTGGCCCAGAGCTAAAATTTTAATATTTCATTATTGAAGTGTAAATTAACTGCATTATTTATTTTAAAGCATACAATCATTCAGCCACATCGCAACCAAAAATCTACTGCAAAGCAAAAATGAAAATGTCTAATTCATAAAAAGAAGTTTAAGCAAATTCAGGAGTAGGACTCCTCCTCCTCTGTTTCCTAGGTACACAGAGTGCTTTTCTGTTCCTATAGTTTTCATAGAACCCTCTCTTCCTATTTCCTAACTCATGCAAGAGACAGAATCAAATGTCTGCCATTGGTAATAAGGAGAAAGGTGGGCTGGATCACTCCAGTCTTGGTTGTCCCTCTTTGTTATTTGTCCATTTAGAAGCCTGTTGTCCACTATAACCCCATAAAGAGTCCCAATAGTACTTCCCCTGGGAGTTATAGGGAAACACCTTCCTAGTATGGTTCTCTTGTCAGGCACTTCCTAAAAATGATGGGTGCTTGTAAAGTAGCTATGAAGACGGCAAGAAACATCGAAGCTCTTGCTATCTGAATAGCATCCTTCCTAGAATTATTTAGTCCAAGCATTGCTCTAGAAAACAGTGTGTAATGGAGAAGTATATGCTTTCACGTCAAACTGCAGCAAAAGAAAAGGGCATAGGGAAACATCATGAAATTGCTGAAATATCCTTATGGCTATGATGAATTGCTATAATGAAAATTAGAGATGTTAAACCGTAATATATGCAGATGTATGATTTGTTATTTAGTTCAGAACAGTCAGAACTAGTCATAGGAAGATGGATTTTCCACTGGAAAGGGCAAAACTAGAGAACTAGATGAGATGTTTATAAAGTATCATCTCACTATTGACTTCAGATAGTATCAGTTAGTTCCACTTTTCTCCACTTCTGTTAGGAAGAGCAGCCTAAACATTCCAGTTCTAAAACATTGTAGAGTTAAGATAATATGCAAAAGATACTACTGTGTCTCTTTGGAACCCAGAGAGGCCGTGAGAAAACTTCTGTTTGTTCTAGGATATATAAGTCAAGATGGTATCCAGGCTCCTATGGTCTTCATTGCTTGAACCTGCATTATTCCAATTCTTAAGTTGATAATAGTTCTGACTGCCTTTTGGATGAATGGATGTTCCATCAAAGCATCCTTGGACTTAGCATGAGCAGACCAGGAAACCCAGATTGGAAGCAATGGCTCTTAATGCTTCTCACTTTGAGTGTGAACCTCTGTGGCTTATCACATCTTGGCTCAACATGGGTATTCTTTTATGAAAAGTAGAGATTTCAAGTGGAACTTGGAAAATTAAAATTAGTATTTAATAGGTTTGTTTGGGTCCTAAATGAAGCAAGCATGTCTCTTAGTTCTTAATGATCCTAATACCCTTTCCCATTGTGTACTAAGAACCACATCTTAGTGAAGACCTCATAAACCAAAGAAGCCATACTCAAAATCAGCCTCAAAAGTGAGTGCACCCTGGGTGTGGAGGTAGAGATCCTGGTGGCTGCCAGGTCTCACCTTCTTCATTAATCCTGATTAAAATATTATGAACTCTTCATTAAGACCTCTTAAAAGTGTTCTCTGAGGCTTGTGCCCATTTTCTATCCTTCCTCCTCTGTCTATGGATTATACCAATGTTGGGCCTGGTAATTCTTGAAACTTAGCCTGCAGCTTCCTTCTTTTTGGGGGTGGGGGGAGAGAAATCACTGTATGACCAACTTTGTGAGATAACCAAGAAAGCAGACAGGGGCTGGGAGATACAGGTGAGTATTAACTCTATCACCAACCCTAGGTGAAATGAGACAGAAATGAGAGGGACTGAGTGCCTGAAAGATTGCCCTAGCATGGGGCCTCTCACACATGAAGGGAGCTTGCTTTCTTATTCCTTTTTTTTTTTTTTTTTTAAGTTTTTTTCTTTTCTTTCTTTCTTTCTTTTTTCTTTTTCTTTTTTTCCTGTAGGTAAACAGAACAAAATGCAGCTGGAGAATTAGAGCAAAGGACCCCCTTTCTTCTGCTGACTTGCCTTCCCCCCCTCCCCCACCCTCTCTTCCACAGCACACATTATCATCTTCCCAAGTTCCCCAGGGCCAGGCCTTGCAATGCTGAGGGTTGTCATTTAGCATCAGTTCTTTGTTCCTTTGCTTCATCTTGTGGCCCTGAGGAAGACAAAAGAGAAACAAGCCATTTGTTAGATTAAAGATTAGGCATCTTCACAAGGTTTAGCAAGGAATACCTTCTTAATGCAGCCCTTGACATGCCTCTCAGTTCTTAAAAGGGCCTAGGAATAGCTTATTTGACTATCAAAGAGCCTTACCTATCTGAACTGTAATTGCTGGCACATGGTATCTTTAAAGATCTTATAAATCACTGCTAATAAATGTAGGCCACATGCCACACTACTTCAGCTGATGGGGATGATTAACTCAAGTGTTCAAAGAATTCTTTGAACAATCTAACTTTGATGTGACATTCCTTTCCCAGATGATTCCCACATCTAGAGATTCTAGAGACCAGTATGTAAATAATAATGACTTACATCATGCTGATGTGCAAAAGCCATTGATGAGACCTTTCTTGTTGAGTATCTGCTGTGTTTTCCACCCATGAGGCAACTTCAATAGACTCTTTTCTAGAAGAGTCTGTGCACATTTTAGTTACTTTAAAACTGAGGTCTAGTCCACCTCCAGGGAAATGCACAAAGCAGATATACTCATTGGATTCAAGTTTTAAGATTCACATTTAGTCTGTGACACTGCCAGGATCCAAAACAAAAACAAAAACAAACAAACAAAAAAACAAAAAAAACCCCTCATGGCTCTAGAAATATCCCTTTCCCGAGTCCAATACTGCTAGAGTCAACAATTGTAAGGTAGTGTTTCCTGTTCTAAAACTTTGTATAAATGACATCTCTACAAACAGGATGACACTAGCATCTTGTGCCTGGCTCCTTCCCCTTGGCATAGTGTTTCTGAGAGTTTCACTGCTGCTTCTTAACTTCATTTTGTTCTTTTGCAATGATTACCAATGCTCTGTATAGAAAAATCATTTTTTTTCATCCACTCCCTGCAAGATATTTAGACTGATAAGACTATAGCACCCTTATGAATGGGGTTCAGTTGATACTTATTTCCATGCACAGAGTGTGCGTTTTCCTAGCCAAGCACCACCCCGCCACACACCTTTACCCAAGCTAGTCTTTTCTCAATCCCTCACTATCACAATTCCCATTTCATGTTGACATTTTTCTGTTTAGTGGCTTATTTCACTTAACATCATGTACTATGTAACATTCATTTTGCTTCAAAGGGCAGGATTAAATTCCATTACATTATTTTATTTGTTCATGGACACCTAGCACAATTTTCTGTCTTAGAAACTATGAATAATGCAGCAATGAACATGTGAAGTGGATAGGCCATGCCGATCAACACTAAGGACTAGGATGGCTCTACTCCCCACCCCCATTTTTCTTTTATTGAAAATAGAATTTCTTCCAGACATATACTATGATTGTAGTATTTCCTTCTCCAACTCCTATGAGCTGTATCTTACAGCAATTTTACTTTCCTTTTTCTGAGGAAACTTCATATTGTTTCCCACAGGGAATATATTGATTTACATTACCATCAATAATGGGTAAATTCCTTTCTTCTACATTTTCACAAGCCTTTTAAAGTCATTAGTGACGTTGAACTTGGTGAGATGGAATATTACTGTAGTAATGATTTGCATTTCTCTTATGGCTAATGGTATTCATTGGGTTTTTTTTTTTTTTTTGTTTTGTTTTTTTTTTTTTTTTTTTTTTTTTTTTTTTTTTAACATATTTTAGTTGGCCATGATATTTCTTTTGGGAGGTGTCTACTTGGGTCATTTTCTTATTAAGTAGAAAATTTGCTTTTCAGTTTTCTTGATTTCTGCCCTGGATATTCTTCCTTTCAGATGTGTAGTTGGCAAATGCTCCCCTCCCCCCACTCTGTAGCTGTCTCTCCATCATGTTGCTTGTCTTTGAGGCATAAAAGCTCTGCAGTTGTATGTAATCCTACTTATGAAGTTTTCCTTTTGTTCCTGTGCTACTGGAATCCTATCCAGAAAAACCTTTGCCTAGACCAATGATGTCAAGTATTTTCCTAACACTGTTAAGGGTGTTACATTTATGTTTTTGATTCTCTTTTAGTTGATTTTGTGCAGGGTGAAAAAAAATGATGTGTAATTTTGAATAACCTGCGTGTGGACTCTTGCTGAGCACAGTCATGCCTTCAACCTGGATTTTTCTTTTTTTTAAATCTGGATTACATTTTTGTTGTTGTTCTCTATTTTCATTTGATTAGGCTTTTGTTGCTGTTGTTCCATTTCTGTGAAGAAACTAAATTAGTTGCTTTTTGTATTGCTGTGTGACTAAACGCTGGTCGAGAAGCAAGTAAAGGAGGAAAGGATTTCAACACTGTAATTTAAGAAGGTCATAGTCAATAATGTTGTGTGTGGGGGGTTGGTGGTGGCAGGGAGTGTGTAAGATAGCAGGAATGTGAGCAGTTACTGGACCTGTGTCCACAGTAGGGAAGCAGAAGGAAGATTGGGACTATTTAACTTCCAGTTAGGATCCATAACCTTCCAAAATGGTATACCAACAAGGGACTGAGTTTATAAACATTAAGCCTATAAGGGATATTTCACATTCAGATGTAATAACAGAAATTGCATTGAGCCTATAAGTCACGTTTTTGTAATATGAACAGTTTAACAATATTAATTCTTCTAAATCCATGACATGGAACATCTCTTGTGTTTGTGCCTTTGAGCTCGTGCATCTGTAGCTTACAATTTTCACTAGCAAGATCATTGGCTTCTTTGGTTAATTTATTTCTAATAGTTTATTTTTGGAGTTATGTTGAAGGGTTGAGTTCCTGACTTCCTTTCCTTAGAAAATTGTTATTGGTATAAAGAAATGCAGCTGATTTTATAAGATAGGATCCTATGTACTGTGACTTTATTGAATTTATTTGTCTTTTCTATATAGGATCATATCATCTTCAAGCAGAATACTATTTCTCTTTCCAATTTTATGTCTTTATTGTTCTTTTTAAAACTTCTAGTACCCATACCTAGTAAAGAGTGGTGAAGAACAATTGTTATTTTATTGGTTTTCTGTGGTTTGAAAGTGTAAGGTTTACCATGAGCTCAGGTCCTCGAACACTTGGTTTCTAAAGCTAGTTTGGGATGTCGTGGAACCATTGCCAATCAGGCCTATCTGGGCAAAACAGGGAGTTTAGAAGCAGTCCATCGAGGTTTATACTCATTTATAATTCTGGTCCAATGTCCTGCTTCCTGATGCTCCAGGTTATGAGAAAGTCACTTTATAAGTTCCTATCATTACAAACCAGGCTGCTATAGCCTAATGGTCAGTACTATCTAAAGCTATCTTCTTTTTCTTTACATTGTTTCTAACAGGTATTTTGTCACAGCTGTTAAAAAGTGGTGATATACTGGACTTTGAAGGCATGTTTTCATTTCTCCCCATTTGGTATAGTGCTGGCCATGTATTTTATGAAAGGTGTAATATTTGTGATGGGAAGCAGTGGTGGTCATGAAGTATTGCTAAACGATTTCGATCTTTTCAAATGTTGAATGTCATTATATTTATTGTATATTTATTACATTATATTATATTGCATTATCAAACTATTCTTACATTCCTAGAATAAAATTAGCTTGATAATACTGAAAGGTAAATTTTTATGCTAAATTCATAGGGGTTTTTACCTCTTTCATCTAAATATAATAGTTTTAAAAGAATTGGCTTCAGTTTTGTTTTGTTTTTTTAAAGATTTTTTTTTGTGAAGACATAGTCATTGTGGGTATGACCTTGAAGGATTTTTTGGAAGTCAAGTGGACTTTTCCCTGTCTTAATGCTCCTGCTATTCCTCAAGCATGAGTCCAAATGAACCTTTCTGCCTTATACATGGATTTTTGTCAGAGTGATTGAGAGTATAAGGTTATACCATGTTTTGACCAATCAGCCCTGTATAGGAGTTCCAGTTACTACACATTTCTTTGTACCAGATGATTATATTTGTAACAGAGATATTTCAGTGTTAATCTACATCAAACTAAGTTTGATGAGGCTCAGTGGGTCACAGCTATGTGCAACCCCTAACCCCACTAGTAGTGTAAAAATGAAGGTTCCAAATACATTAACATATATTTGATACAATTAATAATTAATTCCTGTAGAAAGTAAATAACTATAAAAGGGATGTTTAAGGATAGAGTCTAATCTATGTCTGCTACCAAGAAGAAATATATGGTATCACAAATTACAAAAGACTGTGAAGATGTGGGGAATGAACTTGGAAGAGAAGTTAGAATTCAATATTCATGGTAGATTGTGTGTAGATATCCCTAAGGATATTTAAAGCTATGCATGTTCAAGTTTCACATATAGAACAGTATGATATTTGCATCTAAGCTACACCTCCTTCTGTGAAATTTAAATCACTCCCAGATTACCAAAATACTTCATATAATGCAACATTTTGTAGTTGTCATATTGCATTATTTAAGGATAACAAGAAAAGTCTCTACATGTTTACTACATATACAAGTTTTTTAAAAAATGTTTTAAATTCATGGTTTTCTTGAACCAGTCAACGAAGGAACACTGTAACTGGATAGCCAAAGGAGTTACCCAGTATGCATCAAATACATATGGGATAAAGTTCAGAAATCCAGTGAGGTGAAATCAGGTCGATCAGCAAGCTTGTTTAGGTTTCTGTTTCCTTATCACTTTAAAGAAAAGTTAGAGTATATGATGTTTGGGTTTATTAATTAATTAATTTGGATGGTTAATTTTAGTGGCCTATGAGTCTTTTTAAAGGATACTATTTGGGATCTGTATGAATACAGAAAATCACCATCATGCTTGCCAGTAGCAATGTTTGAATTTTTCCAAAGCAGGTAAGAGAAGAAATGTCGACAGCTATATTAACAAACTCATTTGCTGTGTGCCTGCCATCAAAGAATTTTGAATTGGAAGTACTTAACCTTCATGCATATTTGTGGTCAAGGAAAGCTAGATTTATGCTAGCACTTTACTTGGATATTGACTACATAGGAAATTAATAGAAAAAAAACTCAAAAGTTGTAGCTTGTTGGCAGTTAAAAAGTAAAAGGCCGGGAAATGGTGAGAACTGTTTAAATTTTGCCTCAGTTCATTACCTTTCAATGGAAACTTCACAGCTATTAATTCCTCTAACTGCACAGGATATTCGATATGCACGGATAAGGTGAAATGTTTATGAGCTCATGTTTACATAAATGTGTATTTTTACAAAACAATTTTATGTTATACAAGTGGTATTAGATTTATGGTCCCATAAAGTTCATGATTATCATGAAAAGGATAGATATGTTCTCTCCTACAGTTGGAGCCTTCATTCTACTGTTATGTTGGAGCACAAGTATGGTGCAAGGTGGCCTTCTGGCAGGCTGCAGAAACCAAGAGGACCCAGGGAGTAAAGAGGGCTACTAGGGTTCTCCCTGTGTTTTACATTCACCCACAATTCATTGTTCTATGGTGTTTCTACACATTTAGTTAGTAGCAAGCCTAGGTTCTTCATTTCTGCTTTTTCCATCTTTTCCACAGCCCTCTCCAATGATGGAAAAGCCTTGTAGATTACTTATCATCTAGATATGATGTAGACTGTGTTTTCTGGTTACCACTGTTATTTTCCTGGGTATTGTCTCAGACTCACTGAACTCCAGATATGTCTGTTCAGATGTTCATGTCCTCTGGAGTCAGTATGCTCTCTCAGGCGCCTATTTTTCTGTCAACACATACTTATATGCCTTTATAATCCTCTCAGGTCAAAATTTAGTGTTACACTTAAAAAAAAAAACCACATAGGGCAAATGACACAGTGTGGTGCTTGTGGAAAGGTGATGCTGCTGGAATCAGCTCAAGTTACTGAAGAAAAATTTGATCATTCTAGCAGGCAAATGGTGGCAAGACCAATGGGAAAACACTAGCTACACTCTGGGACTTGACAAAGCCAACAGAAATATAATGTGCCCTTCGCAAACTATTCCTTATGGCTGGCTCATGAATTGGAAAAGTCCTCCATGGGACAACCTTACCTATTGGAAATCTTCTTGCTGACACTCTGTTGGCTCATTTACACTGTCAACCTGTATGTTCATTTCAACTGTAAGCAGAAAAGGTTAAGTAATTAAATGTAAGCAAAAAAGGTTAAATGATTATCAAACCTAAACATGAAAATGGCCACTATGGCTTGAAAATGTTCCCATTTCCTGTCTATGCCTTTTTTGTTTTCAGTTATTCATGACACAGGGATCGGGGGGTTAGGAGTCAATCTCCTCTCAGAGGAGCTGTCATTTCTTGCAGGATTTGTTCTTTGGCAGTTTGCATATATTTACTACCATCCTTAAATAAGTAAATTCAAAGGTCTTAATGGATATTGAGGAAAACAAAGAGAAAAGATCATTGACACGCAGAGAAGTACGCTGCTCCCTCCATTGTGGAATTGTCCCCTCCATAGTGGCAATGTCAATAGACCTGTTTGGTTTGCTGGATTTTCAGTTTCAGAATTGAAAACAGTTCCTGCAAATTGCCAATGGGTGTAGCAGCCAGTAGATGCCCTGAGATAGAAAAGCAACACATGTGTCTTTTACTTGATTGTGTTCATTCTATGTGAGCATTTGCATAAAAATAGAATGTATAATTACTGCCTTTCTCCAGAAGTGGCCCAAAGCAGTCACTCTGGAAATTTCCAAGGGTCAGCAAATTTAATGAGATTTTTACTATTTAAGCCTATACTGTAAGCTAAGAAAATAAATATAGAAATGGACAGTGGGGGACTGGGAATATAGCTCAGTTAGTAGAGTGCTTGCCTTTAATGCTTGAGCCATGGGTAGATTTCCAAGCAACACACATGGGAAACAGTGACAGATAATTACAACAGTAAAATTCTGACTTCAAATCCCTAGCAAGCAAACATAGCCTCTAGTACAAATGTTCTAGACCAGTGCAAGTGGTAACTAGCTTCCATCATTTCTAATTTGCCAGAAACTAAGGAAAGAAACCCAACTTCTAGTTAGCTTTCTTATGCCAACCACCCCCAAATATAGGATGCTTAACTATACATATCCCCATTGCCTGCCAAGCAAGGCAATACTAACACCATCAGTATAATAACCTTTATTTTTATTTGGGGATCTTTCATTTATTTGCACAAACCACAACCTAAATTCCTTGTTTTTCTTTCAGAACTTGAAATAGTTAAACAATAGAATAATGGCAGATGCTGGTCGCACACTACATACATGCTTGGAAGAGCAATGCCCTTGGACAGCATTCCAGGATCTCTCCCAGGATTGAAGGCTTAAAATACTGGTTGATGGGAGATGTCATTCTGTAAACATGTTTCTTATACTGGTTAATGAATAAAGCACTGTTGGCCAATAGGAAAGCAAGATAGGCGGGACTAGAAGACAAGGAGGATTCGAGGAAGTAGTAAGGAGGAGTCAGCATGGAGATACTGGAGAGAGTAGAACTCCGGCCCCACTCTCCGGTAAGATGAGACCACATGGAAATACTTAGATTAATAGAAATGGGTTAATATTTAAGACAGAGCTAGCTGACAAGAAACTAGTAACTGGCCAACAGAATTACATCAAATACATAGTCTCTGTGTGTTATTTGTGGCTGGTGCGGCTCTAAGCCCAGGTTGACAGGAAAAAACCTTACTCCTAACAACTTGTCTCTCTTCTCTTACTTGAAAACTGTACTATTTTATGATTTCTTTGTGATCTCATTATAAACTCCCCCTGCAAGCTGGCCAGATGCAACAGTTCTCTCAGCAAGAGAAACATTCATGCACTGTTCAGCCTGGCACACAGATTTTCCTCTCAGAGTAGAGTATATATGATTAGGCATGAAGAAGCACTCATTTTCTGTTCCTTCTTCTAGTCAAAAGACACTAGGACTATAACCTATTAATACATAATGTTGAATCACATTGAAGAAGTTCTTGCTGAGTCTACAGGTTTCCATGCTTGTAGGGCAAAGACTCAGGATTTTACACACCAGGTTTCTTGTTCTTCAAGGAATAAAATGTATGGGCTGGATACCCTCAGAGCTAACTTTGTGAAGAAGTGGTAAGGAACCATGTCCATAGTTTTAGGGGCAGGCTGGAGCTGGCTCCATTCAAGTGACCTCCATTGTCAGGCTGGGGCCTGTAGTGGGTGTGCCTTCAGCACTTTCTGGGGGAAGGAATACTCATGAGTATAGTATTAAGGGAGACAGTTCAGGTGATGGCAAGACTGTGGGAGGGAGAAATGCCGGCTCTAAGAAGCTATACTTAAAACTATAGTGCTACTTCTCCTTAGGTAGCTCCAATTCTAAGTCGGAATTTAAAGTTAGACCTAGGGGGAAATGTTGAAAATCACAGAAGCAGAGCAACCAGCCACTAGTTCTTACCTCTACCAAATCCTCAGACCAAAGGGGTGATCCTGTCCCTATGGATCTTCAGACTGAATGTGCAATCCTGTCTCTATGGATCCTCAGGCTGCATGGGTTGAGCTCCTGTCTCCTCCTGCCTTATATTCCTCTCTCTATCCAGCCATATCCCTTCCTGTCTCCACCTTCCTGGTGCTGGGATTAAAGGCATGTCACTCCTAAGTACTGGGATTGAAGGTGTAAACCACCACCACCAGGCTCTGTTTCTCTTTTAGACTGGATCAGGATGGCCTTGAACTCACAGAGGCCTGTCTGCCTCTGCCTCTGAGTGCTGGAATTAAATGTGTGTGCCACCACTGCCTGGCCTCTATGGCTAAGTAATGGCCAGCTTCATACTCTAATCTTCTGCCATGCTTTATTTGTTAAAGCACAAACAAAATATCACCACATCCCTATGGCTGAATTATTCCCGAAGTGATTATAAACTCAAAGCAACTTACTTTTCTTTTTCACCCCAAAAACACCTCAAAGGTAGAGAAGTGTGGAGCTGAACAGCTCCTCAACTAGCTTTATGGGAACAGTAGATTTGCTGAGTGACCAAGGTGCCTGCTCTAACAAAATTTGTTTAGAGGCTGGAGCAGCGGCATGTAGTCTATCTACCCTTGAAGGAAAGCTGTTCTTCCTCAATTGGAGAAAGACATCCTCCCTGACTCAGCTAGCAACTTCAGGAAGGATGCTCCTGGAGCCGTGAGGGAAGAAGGTGACAATTACCTAGCAATCCAGATCAGCTGAATCAATACTGGTAATAAATGGGCTGACAGATGTCACTCTCACATTCTAGCGTAACAAATGAAGAGAAACATTAAAGCAGATAGGAGGTAAGGACTTGCTAGTGGCATCTTTCTCTTCACTCCAAACAGCCCTGCATGGGGACATGTTTCTTGTTTATGAGAAGGATATATAATTAAGTCCAAGCCTTTAACCTGAAACATAGAACAAAGCTAGTCACAGTGAAATCTGGTGCTGGAGAAAGGCCAGTGAGGTCCCACCCCACTACCAGGTACCAGATTGAGACCCAGGGTCTGAATCACTAAAACTACATTAGGCTTTGTAGCTAACTACTTCTACAACACCTCTTTACATTTGTGGTAGCAGAGTGGAGAACAAGACTCTCCCTGCTGGGAAGAAAGGTAAGAAAGCAAGCTAACACAAGGATGTGTCTGGGCCCCAGTATCACTCCAGCTGTACTTTGACTCAGGACTTGGTAGAAAGTGAAGATTTTGTTTATCAGCCACAGCTCAGAGCCTTCAGACCAGTTCTACCATCAGCACCTGTGCGCTCCAGAAATAGACACCAGTTTATGCTTGTGTTGGGTCCAGCTTTGGCAGCCTATAGCAGAGATGCTCTTTCCTGTGGCTATGAAAATCTCTGTAGTTATAAGCCTTGTATGTGACCCAGTTTAGTGCCAACCTTGATAGCCAAGGAACTGTCTCTACTGTTTATCTCACATTTCAGGTAATGTGGCTTTAACAAGCCAGTTAACAGTGTTCCATCCTTGTCCTGGCAGCAGGAATAGACTATACCATGTGGTTTGGCTTACGGCAATACCAGCTGAAGTGTGGTTCTTTGGTGTGTGTCCTTGCTACCATGAGACTTAGGCACATCTCAGATTAGCATCAGTGAGGACTGCTTTGGTCAACACTAACTCAACCTAGTATGCTATAAGACCAAATCACTGCAGGTAGGACAGCCCAAGGATCAGTTCCAGGATGAAATCTAACACTGATGAAAAGCTAATGGCTCTCATTCCCAGGTTTGGCTACTAAAAGCTCTGGAAAATATCCAACGCAAGGTAAAGGCATAGGGTACTGCACTTCTAAAGCATCTAGCATAGCTTGGGGTTGTTGCAGTAATCTGTTGCCACAATTACACTTCACCAATAGGCAATCATATTAGGGTGGGCCTTGGATCTACCCCAGTGTTGTGGTACTCTTGGCATCATTATTGACCCCAAATGTGACACTGAATTGAAAGGCTAGTCTATCAACAGTGAATTTTTCTGAAGTCCGTCTGAGACAGCCCTTGCGTCTCACCATAGTCTGGTAACTGTGCACAACAGAGACAAGCTTATGGGGACAGATGCAGTTTCTTTATGGACAATAAAATCAAGAGTGTATTTGGACAAATTTCCACTGACTTTGAACTGGGAGCCACCCACTACTTAATGAAACATGTGTAGCTGGCTTCAAATTTCTGGGAAGATGGGTGCCAACAAAACTGTGTAGGAGCTCACTATTTGATAATGAAATGAGATATGGGATGTCCTGTATGCTGCAAATATGTGTTGCTTTTATTGGTTGATGAGTAAAACTATTTCAGCCAATGGATAGGCAAAATATTGCTAGGCAGGAATTCCAAATAAAGATGCAGAGAGAAGGAAGATGTAGTTGGGGAGGTGTCATGGAGCTGCAGGGGAAGCAAGATGAAAGTTGAGAAGCCATGAGCCCATGGTAATATATATAAGATTAGAAATGGGTTAATTTATATGGAGTATGAAGTGTGAGCCATTGGCAAATTATATTTACTATATTAGCCTCTGAGTGATTATTTCATAAGCAGCTGAAGGGACCTTGTTGACCCAGGGGGACCGGGTGGAATGCATAACAGCTTCTAGATACAGAAATGGCCTCACATGTCTACAATATCAAGTATTTCAGGGAAACTGTC